AATGTTTTGATGCTAAATTTTGATTCTGTTCAATAAATGACCACATTTCTTCTGATGGGTCAAAGGAAATTAACGTCTCATGTCACGGATTAAACAATCCACGCACAGTTACCTCGGTCACATGGCAGTAATTTAATTCGAAAAAGAGAGAACCCATTATATTTAAATATATTGTAGTCAAGGGCAGCTAACCTAGCCCTTAGCACACTACAGTAGGCAGGGTGCTCGGTTCTGTTGACAGGGTGGGGTGCCCTTTTTGAATAATGGTAGGGGGAACACTGGACTTTAACAGTCTTTGGCACCAGGAAGATGGCTTTTTTCCAGTACTGGGGGACATGATGCCATGATATTTTTTATATATTCAAGAGAACACATTAGCTAAATGTGCCCAAACAAACTTCAGCACAGCTGGTGATATTCCATGTAGCCCTGCTGCCGTCCAAACATTAAGTTTGCAGAATATCTTCTCAGCAGCTTGAGGTGACACACCCAGTAACGAAGAGATTGGAGGTGGAGGGGCATATTACAGAAAGGAGATGAGAAGTGTAGCAGAGGAGGATTGCCACCAGTAAAGATCAGTATTTGATCATGACCTTGGCTCAGTGTCAAGGGTGTAGGTGGTGGATGGGAGCCGAGAGGATGGACATTCAGAAAGATAAGGGGTTACCAGACTTACAGGTGCTGGTCATAAAATTCAAATATCATGAAAAAGTTGATTTATTTCAATAATTCCATTCAAAAAGTGAAACTTGTATGGGAACCGATCTGAATCACTGGGGAAACCCCCTCATTGTGTCAGAGGGAGTTCCCATCAGCAGGCCTACGTCACACGTCACAGTTTTCACAGACGCGTCCCTGTCAGGTTGGGGAGGAACGTGTCTGTCCCAGGCGGTGGGAGCACAGTGGCCGGACCACATGTCTTTTCACATAAATGTGCTGGAGATTCTCACAGTCTGGAATGTGACTCAGCATTTTGCTCCTCTGCTGCAGGATCAGCATGTTCTGATCCACACAGACAACAGAGTGACAGCAGCTTACATAAACCGTCAGGGAGGCGTGCGCTCAGACCAACTGTTACGCATTGCGAGACAGCTGTTGTGTTGGGCACACAAAAACTTGTTCTCCATCAGAGCAGTGTACATTCCCGGCGTCCTGAACAGGGGCGGACTGGCAGGAGCACCGGGACATTTCCTGGTGGCCTGACTCTGCTCAGTGCCCGCTGAGGGACTGGACTCGAGGCTCAGTTTGGGTTGTGCTTGATTATTTTTAAATAAACAAGCCGCTCTTGCGCTGGGCTCACTCAGGTCTCAGGCTCCCCCGCCCCTCCTCTCTCTTTCTGAGGCTGTCGGCAGAGCAGAGACACAGCTTCACGCAGCTGACACACACAAATTGCGCGTGCGCCCCCGTGGACTGGCGTGAGAGGGTTATATGTTCGCACGGGGAGCGCGCATGTCTGTACGTTTCTCGGCTTGATTAAGAGAAAAGCACTGGCGCTGATGCAGCAAAGTGCAGTAAATTGTTTGTTTGTAATGGAGCAGGTAAAACAGAAACATCCTGATGCTCAGTAATCCAGGTAGAAAAATCCAACAAAGTTAAGTCAGGTCCTCTGGATGGGTTCTGGAAGTAGAACTGTCCAGAGGATCTGACTTAACTTTGTTGAGTCAGATCCTCTGGACAGTTCTACTTCCAGAGGATCTGACTTAACTTTGTTGAATAAAACAAACACTGGTGAAAACTGCAGTTTGTCAGCACAGCTAGTTTAATGTGGTTAGTTAAGTGGGCCAAAACTTAACAGAACAAATTTTTTAAGTTTTTACAAAGGACATTACAAATTTTAGAATTTGGTCAACAAATAGGATCTGAAAAAAAAGTTTAATGCTGAAATGTCCAGGAATTCAGATTTTGTGTACCCTTCATAAACTCCACTAGTAAATTATCTGATTATTAAAATCCTTGTATTATATTATTTTATCTTTATTTTACCAGGTAAAGTCCCACTGAGATTAAGAACATTTTTGTTGTTACATATAAATAGTCAATTAGTGAAAATGAGAAAATATGAAATGTAATTCAGACACGTGTTCTGAGCATTTATCCATCCATCCATTTTCTTCCGCTTATCTGGGGTCAGGTCGCGGGGGTAGCAGCCTAAGTAGGGAGGCCCAGACTTCCCTCTCCCCAGCCACTTGGTCCAGCTCCTCTGGGGGAATCCCAAGATGTTCCCAAGCCAGCCAACAAAGTCCCTCCAGCGTGTCCTGGGTCTTCCTCTGGGTCTCCTCCTGGTGGGACGTGCCCGGAACACCTCACCAGGGAGGCGTCCAGGAGGCATCCTAACCAGATGCCCGAGCCACCTCAACTGACTCCTCTCGACGTTCTGAGCATTTTGTGCTCAGAATTCTCAGCGACAGCCCAGAAACCTGCTGATCTAGAGAAGATCTGTGTGGAAGAATGGGCCAGAATCCTGCTGCAGTGAACCTGGTGAAGAACTACAGGAAACCTTTGACCTCTGTAACTGCAAACAAAGACTAATGTACCAAATATTAACATTGATTTTCACAGGTGTTCAAATACTTATTTACAGCAGTAACACACAAATAAATTATTTTTAAAAAATCATACATTGTGATTTCTGGATTTTTTTTTTTTTTTTTTTTTAGATTATGTTTCTCACGGTGCACATGCACCTTAAATGAAAATGTCAGACCCCTCCATGATTTCTAAGTGGGAGAACTTGCAAAGTCGCAGGGTGTTCAAATACTTATTTTCCTCACTGTACCTTAAGAGTATTTGCTTCTTCTATTTAACAGGAGCGGATTTAAAATTGTGACACAGGCTCCTCCGTTTTCTGCTACGAACAGACAACGCTGAACTTCACTAATGGAACTGTTGTGTTCCGGTATATACAGACATTTAACTCCACAGAGGGAAGTAAAGACACCAAAAGATTTGTAGTAATACTAAATGGTATCTCCACTAATCCAAGACGGGAATTTGATACCATCCCAGGCCAACACCACTCAATTAACAAACCACCAAGACCGAGTAAAATTGAGTGCATTTTGAACACCATGTGTACTTGTCTAGCAACGAGGTGTCCAATGCTATCAAAAGCATTTTTTTGGGGGGGGGAGAGACACACTGGTGCGAATGACAAATTTTATTTTTTTAATTTTAAACTTTACCTACTTACGATAGTTTAAAATTGATACTTTACTTGATTCTTGTTGAGTGGATGGGAGTTGAGTGGGGGGTTCTAAAAACTGGCATGAAAAGATTAAAAGTCACTGATGCAGCATACGAATTGCTGTACCAAAAACTGTCCCTGATTAGGGCTGAGCACCGAACCGAGGTTCTTTTATGGCACCGACCGAACTGCACCGGTTGGTGTATGTATTGAAACGTCACTCTTCTTTCGGTGTCAAGTTTCGGTATTGGCTGTAACGTGTCATGTGGTTTCAGCACGCAGGCAGGTAAAACACCAGACATGTGACAAACAGACTACGTGTTTACACCCAGAGCTGTATAGAGCTGCCGCACCTATTCTATGTACAATGTGTGTCTATGGTGCTGGAGACACCCACAGACTGGGTTCACGTGTGCAGCGTGAAAGTTGCTCCGTGTTTCTCTGCAAGAAGAGACACTAACAGCAGCTTCCTCCCCCCTCCCCTCAGCATTGTCAGTCTGTGTGTGAGACGGACTGAATCAACATTCCACAGCCGGACTTGTCTTCATCAAAGAACTCCGAGGACGGAGCTGTGTCTGTTACAGCTGGTGAGTTTACGTCTGTTAACCTGACTGAAAACTGTTGGATTTTATACCTGGATTATTGAGCATGGACTTTGTTAAGTTTGTTAACACGTACATCACGGTGAAATAACGCTAACTTTAACATATTAGTGTGTAAATTTATTTTATCTACGTAGCTAGCTTAACTCAGAAGCTAACTAAAGATTGACAGTAACAGATAAATCTTAGCTTGTAAAACTGCTCATCCATCCAGTCAGCTGCTTAAACAGTTCACTAATGTTCACAGTTTATGTTTATGTTCTCCTCACAGGAGGTTCTGACCCAGATGTGAGGACAGACAGAAAAGTGAGGTGGAGGCCACAGGACAATCAGACTTTGTTGTTAAAAGTGTGCCGTCTTTTTCTACAGTGAAGCTGCATGGAGGAGGTAAGTAAACTGTAGAAGATTTTGTTGACCAGTTAAACCTTTATCTCTCAGCCTAGATAATGTTTTTTGAGCAAAAATAACACAACCATGTTATTGTTGATGTTTTGTTCTCATGTCAATTAGGGAGATGATCAGAGCCCTAAACCCCAGAGAACCACAGAGAAGATTCAGGCAGAGACACAGAGGTGCAGAAGTCTGCATCATCCCTACCTCAGTGAATCCAGTGACCTGCTGGTGGGATGTGAGGGACAATAAGTCAAACTGACAACCAGGTATCTGTGTGTGCAACAATCATCATCTGCAGCCTCAGAGTGAACATGTTCTACTGCTGGAGACACCATCAGCCAGGAGCAGCTGGTTTGTGTCCAGAGAAAACAGACATGTTGATGTTTCTGAAGAAAAACTGTTCAGTGAAAAGGTCCTCAGTGTGCAGCAGTGAACATTAGACACTGACGTGTCACTGGTTTGTAACTGGTCTTTTGAAATGGAAATTATTTGTTTATTTTAATGTAAGAAAACTGCTTGGAATAGAAATACCAAAGTTAAAAATAAAATTCACAATTTGTACCATTATGTGTAACGTAATTTTATTCGTTAGAATGAATTAATTACAAAATTGGTACGGAAAAAAGAACCGCCCAGGAACCGACACCGAAGTGAAGGTATCGACACAGATTTTTTTAGAAAGGTACCCTGATAAACATTTGCCCACTGAGCAGTACACAGTCATGTGAATTAACAAAAGTGAAAAATCTAATTTTCAGTAATCGTGTTTTTTTAAATAAACTGATTAGGCACAACAGGCAATAAATCACAAAGTAATCTACCTGATTCTTTCCAAGAGGCATCGGTCCCATGTGGCCAGGTGGTCCCCCAAACAGTGTGGGTCCAAACCCAGGTACTGAGCACAGAAAGATAACCATACAGTGGTTACTAGGAATGTGCGATATGGCATAAAATTCATATCACGATATGTATTGTGAATGGTGGCGATAATGATATATATATCGCGATATGTTTTTGTTATAAAACTTTCAAAAAAAAGCATAGTGTGTCCTTTTGCCCTCATTTATTTTGAATTAAGAAAATTACACTACTAGGTCCAGAGAGTTTTAAAATAATAAACAAATCAAGTATTAGGCTTCTTTCTTGTAGTGCAAAACAGAGCAAAAGATATCTAATGTAGTTTTAGCCATATGTTTTAAACAAAAAAATATGTTGTTAACTCTTAACAGTTTCCAGTCTTCTCACTTTATAAATGAACAGCAACAGAGCAGCATTTTACACTGAAACACTTCATCCTCCAAACCTCTAGTGGGCGACTCCTTCTGCTTTAAGGAGAGTTGACACAAAATGAGTCTGTGGCTTGGACCAGAGGGTCTCACAGTAAAATCACACAACACAGCGTTCTTTTACAGATCAGAGAGCAGGTTTCTCTAAAACTGACCAACGCTGACTTTAACTTTCGAGGGGGGAAAAAAAAAAAACTTTTGATGGAACACAGTGTTTTGCGCATGCGTCAGAATACGGCAACACTACGGCAAGCTGGCTGTAGTTAGCTTGTAGCTTCACTACTTGGTCTCAAAGAAAATACTTTAATGCCACTTGCGCACAGTTTTCAGCTAAAAAAAGTAACGATTAAATCTGATAACTCTGATTTTACTTCAGACACAGCATTACTGCGGTTAGTCAGTAGAAGACAGATCTCTATCTCTAAATTTCTATTGTTTCTACCTTGTACCGACAATGTTCTTTCTGCTCAGTTGGTTTCAAAGAACAAATTTACCATTAAAAAAAGACTGCATAGCAGAGGTCCTGCTCTACATAAAGTTCACTACTACTCACAAATAAAAGAAGACGGCCCCATGTTTGGCGAGCGTGGTTTGGAGGCAGCTGAAAAGTACTCCACAGCTTTTTTGAATCGCTCCACCTTGTCCTCCATACGTGACTGCAAAAAATAAAAGATAAAATGTGATGATGGCTTTACCAAACACAGAGATCTGACAGTTCTAGTTGAGGAGTTTGTTTAAGTTTCAGGGAAACTCTCAGGATGAAGTCATTTTCCAGAACTGACCAAACGAGAAGTGAAAGATTTCCTTCACTGCCAAACTGTTGAGCCTACTGCAACAAACAGAAGTTTCTACAGCAATAAAATGATCAGATAAAATATTTGTAACATTACATATGGTGACTTTCAAAACAAAGTAAAAGGAACAAATTAAAGTACAAGTAGTCTTTGATTTTTAAAAGCAAATATATTGTGCAAATAAGTATTTAAAATGGCGTCTGTCATGTTTGGAATTCCAAAAGTTTAAAAAGGACAAATTTAACTATGAACACATTACAAGGAAATGTACTCAAAATTTCATAAAAACTGTGCAGTAATGTGAGCATATTAACATGTTCTGGATTAACACTGGCTCTGTGTCAGATAATGTTTCTAGCTGCTGAAATAAGATGCTAATGAAAAGTAGAGGTAGTAGAAATACACAAGAAAGATTATGGTCATGTTAAAACCAGCCAGTAGGGAGAACAAGCCAGTGTATCTCTTGTGCTGGTCCCAAGACCCGGTAAATGGTGAGGGTTGTGTCAGGAAGGGTATATGACATAAAACACTTGCCCAAACCATAATGCGAATTCATCAAAGCAAAACCATATCAGATCCGTCATGGCCCGGGTTAACAACGACTGCCACCGGTGCTGTTGACAAACAGGGTGCTGGTGGAAATTGTGCTACCGTTAGTCAAAGACCACGAGGATGGAAACATGTCAGGAGACTGAGGGAGAAGAGGAAAGTCAAGAATGTAGGACTGAGGGTGGCAACTCTAAATGTTGGGACAATGACAGGCAAAGGTAGAGAGCTGGCTGACATGATGCAGAGAAGGAAGGTAGATGTTTTGTGTGTCCAAGAGACCAAGTGAAAGGGCAGCAAGGCTCGCAGCACTGGAGCAGGGTTCAAACTGATTTACCATGGTGTGGATAGAAAGAGAACTGGAGTAGAGGTGGTCCGGAAGGAGGACTTGACAAAGAATGTAGTAGAGGTGAAAAGAGTGTCAGATAGGGTGATGTGTCTGAAGGTAGAAGCAGAAGGTCTGATGCTAAACATCATCAGTGGTTATGCTCCACAGGTTGGATGTGATGTGAAAGAGAAAGATACATTTTGTAAAGATCTGGATGAAGTGATAGAGAGTATTCCCAGGGAGGAGAGAGTGGTGATGGGAGCAGACCTGAATGGACATGTTGTTGAAGGAAACAGAGGGGATGAGGAAGTGATGGGTAGGTTTGGTGTCAAGGAAAGAAACCAGGAAGGACAGATGGTGGAGGATTTTGCCAAGAGAATGGAAATGGCTGTAGTCAACACCTATTTCCAAAAGTGGGGAGGAACATATGCCCCTTTACCACCACTCCTACTCAGCCCCAACTTTGCTCAGCTCTCCACGGTATAAGCGCTGTTCCACTAGTACTTAGCTGATTCGGCCCCTTTTCTCTGGTGGGACCATTCGAGCTGAGTCGGCACCTAAACATGACGTCAGAACACTGTTGGTCACTGATTGGTCAGGGGGAAGAGTCACTGGATCTCTCTCAGAAACTTTTCACTGATCCGCCATTTGCACTTACTCTGAACTCGAAGCAGCTGGATCTATTTTTAAGATTTTAAAAACAATGAGTGATCTAGCCACCGCAGAGGATCATACGAGCTGCTGACCCGTTGAAGCATGCGAGGCCAGGGCCCGGACCCAGACCCCGGCCTCGCATGCTCACAAAGGCCGGATTCTGAGCCCTGTCAGACAGGAGGACCAGGACAGAGGATGGAAACATTTTTTTATTAACATTTTATGTATTAAAAAAAAAAGTTGTTTTTTTTTGTCAGTGAAGATTAAAAATAAATAAATGGCTTTATCATGAAATCCCGTTTTCACTTTGACTTTATTCACTAATCTGTTAATTAAAGTTAACTCAGCTGAAAAATCATAAAAAAACAAAACTATTGGATCTCTCAGGAATATTTCCCTCAAATATGTTTAAAGAAGAGACAGCTTTTAGTTCAACTTTATTCTAAACCACAGATGTACAAATCACAAAACAAGAATTACACTTATAATCAAAGCTAAAATAAAATAATATGTAAACAAGAAACAAAACCACGTTTAAATTGAATAATAAAAGTAAACAACGAGTGCAAATACATCAGATGATGAAGACAAATATAGAATTTTAAATATAGATGTTCTTGTAGAATCTGGTTCATCAGAGATTTAATTCAGTTCACTTTATTTATATAGCGCCATATCACAACAGAAGTTATCTCAGGGCACTGAACAGAAATATTCAAATATAAAAATATGAATTTAACATTATTTATCTGAGGAGCAGACTGCTTCGAGTTTAACTCATCCAAGAACTCTCACTGTTAATGGTGAACTAAAGTTCATTAAAAGTTCATTAGCAAGGTTTTGGATTCTGGACACGCCTCCAGAACCAGTCCTGAAGTGCGGTGGAAATGCAATGTGTAAAGAGCTGATCTGAGCAGGGCAGAGCAGAGTAGGGCTGAGTAGGAGCGGTGGAAAAGGGGCAATGGAGTGACCTATAAGAGTGGAGGAAGGAGTACACATGTCGACTACATTCTGTGTAGAAGAGGAAACCTGAGGGAGATTGGAGACTGTAAGGTTGTGGCAGGGGAGAGTGTGGCCAGACAGCATCGGATGGTTGTGTGTAGAAAGACTGTTGTTGTGAAGAACAGAAAAAGAGCAAAATCAGAGAAGCCCAAATGGTGGAAGCTGAAGAAGGAAGAATGTTGTGAGAAATTTACAGAACAGCTGTTGAAGCCTCTGGGTAGTAAGAAAGAGCTTCCAAATGACTGGACTACTACAGCAACAGTAAATAGAGAGACAGGTAGGAGGATACTTGGTGTGTCATCTGGACAGAGAATGGATGATAAGGAAACCTGGTGGTGGAATAGTGAAGTGCTGGATGCCGTTCAAAGAAACAGGTTAGCCAAGAAGAAATATGAAAGTGAGAGGACTGAAGAGAGGAGACAGGAATATAAGGAGATGGGACGTAGAGCAAAGAGGGAGGTAGCTAAGGCAAAGCAGAGGGCGTATGATGAGTTGTATGGGAGGCTGGACACTAAAGAGGGTGAGAAGGACTGGTACCGATTGGCAAGACAGATCAGGCTGGAAAGGATGTGCAGCAGGTTAGGCTTGTTAAAAATAGGAAAGTAATGTTCGAACAAGTGAGGAGAGTGTGATGGGAAGATGGAAGGAGTACTTTGAGGAGCTAATGAATGAAGAGAAAGAAAGAGAAAGAAAAGTAGAGGTCATAAAAACCTTGGACAGGAAGTGGGGAAGATTAGTGAGGGTGAAGTCCAGAAAGCTCTAAAAAGAATGAAGGGGAAGGCAGGAGGACCTGATGACCAGTGGAGGTATGAAAATATCTTGAGAGAGATGGCAGTGATGTTTTTGACCCAAATAT